ATTTTGCTCTGTATAAAAGACCTGTGTGGAATTTTTTTGTAGATCTACTTAATTCTGAACTCTTTTTTACAGCTGAATCAGTCAATTCATTATCATGAATATTCATATAAGCAGAAACTTAGCATAGATGAATTATCAGCTTTGATATTCTTCTCTTTTGAATTTTTAAAATAGAGTTTAAGATCAGTTCAAGATTTATTTGATTATTATAAATCTGACTGTTTTTAAGTGTTTTTAAAGTAGCTTAATTATCAGAGAATATTTATATCTCTTTTAAACTATTTTCTCTTTTATAAGATTTTATTTCAATGAGTTTGAAAGCTTTCACTATTATAAATAGTTCAGTATCAAAGACTTCAGCTTCACAGTCTAAATTTCAGAAATCTGAGATAAAATTAATATTATCTTCAGTATAAGCAATGTCTGTATCTAATCTATTCAAATTCTCTTTTTTTGAGTCATCTGAATAAATCAGAATAGAGTCTTTTATATTAATTGTAAAAATTCTCTTTAAATACTGTTCATATTCTTTCTCTTTAAATAGTTCACTTATTTATAAGTTTATAAGAGATTCAAGCTTTTCTCTTCAGAGAGATATCTTCTCATGATCAACTTTTTCAATATTTAAAGAAGAAAATTGATTTTTAATCAGTAAGTATAGTCTGTACAGTTGAGAAGACATTTTCTTTGAAGAATTATTTTCATTTCAATCAAGAAATCTATTTTAATTCAGTTCATTTTCAGAGTTAATTAATGAAAATGAAGAAGAGACTCTTTCTCTGATTATATAATTTAAGCTTATCTTCATAACTCTCAGAGTATAGTTCATACAGATCTTTTCAAATCTAATAGTAGAAGAGAGAATTGAAGCTTCAATTTTCATTACTTTAATAGAAGATAATTTAAATACTTTCAGAATTCTTCTCAAAGCTCTGTTTTACAGACTTTGAAAGAGTTAAGTGAAATTTTCTTGATTATTTCATCAAACTTGAACTTTATAATCAGCTACTGAGATAATACAGGCTATATATAACTGTCTCATAGTCTGGAAGAATAAATCTCTCTCTGTATTTAATAGTCTGATTATATTATTCAATAGTCTTTCTATCTTGATAATTCTTTGTTGAATATAATATTTAAAATTCAACTTGAAGTTTAATTATACTTCTAATCATTTGATATTTAAACTGAGTTTAATCTCTCTATTTAAAAGAGTTAGAGGTAGTTCTTTCTCATTGAATCTGAAAAAGAAATGAATTAACTCAGTTTTATTCATATTAAATTGAATTTAATTAATATATACTCTGACAAAGATTTTCTCTTTATAGCTTTTTCAATCACTTTTAAATTCTCTTTAATAGTTTTTGAGCTGTAGACTAGATCAATATCATCTATATAA